ACGCAAGCCAATAATGGGGCTCGAATATTAATACAAATGGCGGGAACTCTTTGCAAAGTGCATTTCTGTGCTGCAAAGAAGAAATGCACACTGCAAAGAAAGCTACAAACTGGCGGGAAAATAATTCAGTGGTGCCAAAGCACACACAAAACAAAATCACACCTTTGGGTTGTGACACTACTACTGTCTGGAAAACTGTTAAATAACTTTATTTTTCTGATGGTTAAAAACTATTTAATTTTGTGGCCTGCTCATGCCCGTTTGTTCTTGTGCCAATGTTTTCCTTTATCTTAAATATATTTTCAATTTTATTTTATTATGAGCCAGAATAACACAAATCCCAAATGTATATACATCTGAATTTCATGCTGACTAGCTCTAATGGAGCTGCACAGAATGTAAGTAAGTACGTATGTTGAACTGTATACATTGGCTTGACTGTTTATAATATAATCTTAGCACACTGCAAGAATTTTTAAAATGAGTCTCTTACAGCTGTTTACTCAAATCCATATATTTGTTGTTGTGACCTGTTTTTCTAATGTTTTGGCTTTATAGCCTTAATGAAAATCTAACTTTTTATTAGTCCAATCCATTTGTTTTTATTTTTAATATGTTGCCTGGACATGTTATAGTGCACTGTCTTTGAAGTTCTTTATAAATATAAATATCTTTGCACAACATTTTCCTCAATGTTATTATTTTATTAAATTAATTACACATTTTCCTGTATTAGTCTATTTGAAACATAGCAATATGTACACTAGTGTTACTAGTGTAAATTATACATAGATTCCATTATAGGCAACCAAGTCTTCATAATGTATAATCAGTGCACATAAAGTAGAAGTAGCTAATGTTAGAGCTTCTGTCATATTCCTGCCGCTGTTCCTAATCATGATGGAAGTGTGCCATTCAGGACACATCAACATATTAGATAGCACTATGCTGTATTCCCAAAGAGACTAAATAGTAATGCCAAAATGGCAGGAGCTTTAAAATAATCTTCCACTACTGCAATTCATGTTTCTCACTATCACTTAGGCATATCAAGCTGAGGTGTGGGTGTCAGTATAAAGCTCTGATTTTTCAGCTGTGTATGACACCCAAAATTAATTTGAAGTAAACATTTCCTCCCCTTCCCCTCACATCCAAAAAGCAGATTGTAAGTGACAGCCTCTGCCCAACATTGTAAAATACGAACTTAGCATTTCCATAACGTGTCTGGCAGTGTGAAAGTTGTACTACCACCAACAACTATTGCAGTGGCCCGACTAAAACTGGCTGAACTGGGCTGCTCTGTAATGAAATCATGTTACCCACATTTGCTAGTGTAGTGAATGCAGGCAAAGTAAAGACTTTTCATTCTCTTTATCATTTGAGCCAGAATAATTTAAATGAACATAATATTCCAGGTGAGGATGTACCAAATGCTTATATGCTGGAATTTTACTGTCTGTATGTCACATATAGATTATTACTGTCTGTATGTCACACACAGACATAATTTTTTACATCTGTTGCACTTTTAAATGTTTTCTTTGACTCCTATACATTGATAACTAGGCTGTCCTATAGGATTACAGCTAATTTGAACTAAATGGGTGGGTAGGTGTGTGTTTGTATGTGAATAATGCATGTGTTTTATTTTGAATGTGTCAATACTGAATTTCATCTGACACCAAGCTGCTCATCCACTAACTCTATTAAGTCCTCACAGACCTTAGTCTTGATTAACCTGATTAGTTTTGTGTCGTCAGCAAACATTCCCAAGCCATCTGTATGTTTTTCCCCTGTTGTTATTCATCTGCTTTGAGATGATTAATAAATATTGGGCACACCAGTTCTAATATGGAGTCCTATGTTACTGGTTAAATATCCCCAGCTGGCGTGAAGACTAGCCAGCACAGGGCCAGGCACCCTGATGAACTAACTAGTCAGCCCCACCTGGAACCTACCTCCTGCCCTTCCTGTTCCCAGTGTCCTGGATTCTCTGATTTCTTGTCTCTGGTGCTCTTTTGACCATGATTTCTGGATCTTGGCTCCTGGCTTGGTTACTGCCTAGGATCTTCCATTTTCTGATTTCTGGCTCAGTTCTTGACTCCAGTGTGGCGTCTCTGGCAGAGTGGGTGGCTGGTTCTCCTTGTTCTTAATACTATGCTGTTAACTTTTTTCCACGTTGAACTGACAATGTAGAAAAATGTGTCTTGTCTTGAGATGAAAACAGAAACTCTCAAAGAGAAACTTTAAAATTAGATTTTTCATATAACGTACCGTTTTTTGCACAAGTAAGTGCATATTGGGCTCTAAGGGTCCCTCGTGTTTTGGTATGAATTCATTATCTAGTCAATGGGGCCTTTTGGCAGGGGGCAAGGAACGGGCGGGGTAATTTTATATGCATGCGTATACTCTCCCATGCATTCCTCAGCAAAACATCTTCTGAACTAACAAAATCAAACATTTATTTCACTGAATAACTTTAATTTTTATTAAAATCATCTCTGAGACCTGTGACACAGCTAACTGTTCCTTCTCCAAAAATGAGCATGTTTTGTTACTATGTGCTTTTTGAACAAGCCATATTTCATTATGAAGGTAGATGAAGCAAAACCAAAACGTTTAATTGCTATATCCATTCATGATCTCCATTCAAGGCAGTGGGAGGCTTGTGCAGAAGCCAGACACCAAAGTCCGTAGTTTGTCTTCTCTCAAAAAGTGCTTTGCACAGTGTTTCTGAAATACTTCCAGAGACTTGGGAGTGGAGGTGGGGGAATGATACTACGTAGCATATTTAGGGCTTCTTCAAGCCATATTTGTATTCCGACATGATTCTGCGATAGCTGTGTTGTCACTGTATGTAGTGTAACAGAATAGGAGCTGGCTCCAAGTGACCGAGTTAAAGAGTACAAACTCAGAACAGGAGGAAAGAGGTACAGATTTATCTAATGCGATTAATAGACCTTGCCTTCACTGTAGCAAATTTTGGGAGACCAGTATTCTTCGCAAACAGGTAAACCTTAGCCACCTACAAAGCCCTCTTTTATCATTTTGCAAATACCAAAAATGGAGAAAGCTGTGTTTCAGATTGTCTGCATTATAGCAAATCGGAGTTTACGTGTGCCGCTGAAGGACACAGGATTGTCTCTTCATGTGTAAATTGCCTTTTTCACTTGCAGTGTATATAGCAAGAGTCTCAGTTTCCTTTTTCTTTTCTCATTCTAACTTCTTGACATTCTGGACATTCATGAACAATAATATCCTCAGGAAGTTGGGTAATGACTTGAAAAACCCTGTAAATTCAGACAGGCATGAACATGTTGAAATAAAATTTCAATTAATTCTCTGCTCTTACTTTTCTCCTGTGGAAAGCTGTTAGCCCATTTACGCTTTCCTGGGTCACGGAAATGCAGAAGCTTGTTGCAGGTACAGTTTTTCAGTTCTCCTTCAGCCACGGAAAGGAAGTTAGTTGTCCACCTGATGTGTGCCTGCCTTTGACTAAACCTGCTGCACAGGCAACATACGTCTTAATGGGAAAATAGTAGCTTCCTAAAGAGAGAGGGAGACAGAGAGTAAATAAAAAAATTGATTTATTTTTTCTGTAGTGCAAGATTGTGAATTTGTAGGAAGTCTTTGAAGTGTCCTGGATGTATATCTGACAGAAGCATCCCCTTCTTAGTAGTGGGTTATATGTTTTGTAACACTTTTTACATTCTATAATATGTATTTTACATTCTATAATATGTATTTTATTGCAACTTAGGGGAAAAGAAGAATTTACTTAGCAGATCACAGTCTTTCTACAAAGTCTTCTGTCATTTGAGGTGGGGATTTTTTAACTGCTTAGCTCAAGGTGTCTGTGATTCCATTTCCCCAAAAAATAGTTTTGTAGTCACTGCTTAAGAAAACAAGTACTCAATGTATGTGCTGACATTTGTCACTCAGTTACAGGTTTATCTGCCTTACGGAGCTGAGGAAGCATGTTGCTGTCTTGAAGTGCTAAAGACTTGTCTATGCTACAAAAATAGACATGTTAAAACACGATTTTGGCCTCCAACATGTTTTTTCTTGCTTGTTATCTTTTTTTTTTCATATTTTTATTGGAAATAATGATACATAGAGTCCTAGCCAGTCTTTTATGTAGCAGCTTCCTTTCCAAGCCCCATCCAGCTATAATGACAGAGGTGTTGCCAGTCCATGTCATCCAGTTGCCAACCTTTCATAAATAGCACTCTCTCAAATACTAAGTTTCTTTTCCAGTCTTTGTGCATCACCCGTTCTTGTTATTTTACTTTCGATGCTTTCTTTCAAAGTTGAAATAGCTCCCATAAAACTCTATCCAGGGTTTAAATAACTCATATTTTTCTTAGAAACTTTATAGTGTATCAGCAACATGACAAAACAAGGTAAAAATGTACCTAACTAAAATTAATGTACATCATCATTGATCAATCAAATCTGCTATGCATGTTCCCTCCTTCTTTCAGAGGCCAGGTCAGGACAGTAATGGGAGAAGAAACGTTCCCTGTTCGTTCCACTTGTCAAAACAGCAGGAATCTTCAGAAATCCCTGGACCAAAAGGAAACATTTTCTTTTTAGGAGTTGTAATGACGATATAGCAATATGATTTAACTGTAACTAGTCAGTGTAGGTCACAAGGTCTCAAAAAAATCTTTTGCCTGAGTTTCAGAAGCAGTGAGCACTTGTCATTCCCTGTGAAGTAAATAAGTTCTGCCCTGCACCTTTGAAAAAAACAGTTCAGTAAACATTGATAACAGTCTGTAAGGAATACAGGTACCATCTTACATGCTTGTTTCCGTTTTTGAACAGGAGATGTCATTGAATTCCATGGTCCCGAAGGAAGTGGAAAAACAGAAATGCTTTATCACCTCATCGCCCGTTGCATCCTTCCCAAATCAGGAGGAGGTTTGGAAGTAGAAGTCATGTTCATTGATACAGACTACCATTTTGACATGCTTCGTCTGGTTACCATTCTTGAACACAGACTACCCCAGAGCACAGAAGAAACAATAAAACTGTGCCTTGGAAGGCTTTTCCTTGTTAACTGCAACAGTAGCACACAGTTGCTTCTCACTCTTTACTCTCTAGAAAATATGTTTTGTACTCACCCTTCTCTCTGCCTTTTGATTTTAGACAGTATATCTGCTTTTTATTGGATAGACAGAAGCAATGGTGGGGAGAGTTATAACATGCAGGAGTTGAATATGAAAAAGTGTGTTAAATTTCTTGAGAAGCTTGTCGGAGAGCATCATTTAGCTCTGTTTGCAACAACACAAACAATTATGCAGAAATCTTCAAGCTCTGCAGAAAGTTCCTTTTCCTTAAAACATCAGTGTGGAGCTGATGTAGACTACAGGCCTTATCTTTGCAAATCGTGGCAACAAATGGTAACCCACAGAATATTTTTCTCTAAGCAATGTCATTCTAGTAACAGCAAAGGTTTTTCAATTGTTTCTTGTCATGTCAAAAGAAACCATGTAGTGAAATGTTCATTTAGTATTGCAGAATGTGGAGTTCAGTTTTAACTTGAATTTGCTTTTAAAGTTATGGTAAATCTTCAGTCTAACTAGCCTTCTGTATTTTTTTACATTTTTGTACCTTCTTAACGATCTTGATTTGTTTATGAATTTTGTTATGAACATTTATTAAATTCGGTGAAGAGCAGAGGAAATATAAAGATTTGAATGACTGTATAAGTTCAGCATAAAATAGAGAGGAGTGTTGTAACTATTTATGTGTGATTGATACATCAAGAGATTAAATCAAGAGAACTAGAAGTCAAGTCATCTTTAACTCTGTCTCCTTTCACTAACATTTTCTAAACAGTATACAGCCAAATGCACTGACTTCAGCTCTGTCATAACCCTTTTTACACCTCTTCCTCTTCTAAGCTACACAGAATGTAGTCTAGCTCTGTATGTGGGAGTTGGTGCATAGGCAAATGTTAGTACTTTGTAAATATTGGCCTTGATTGACTCCCACTAGCATAGAGACATACACTCTGCATATACCCTTTGCCAGCAGGCACAGCTGCGCCTCAGGAGAATTCATTTTCTGTGTAAGGAAGGTTCCATTGTCTCTGGCTAGGCACCATCCAGTTAAACCTGCCAACACTTATAGTATCACTGGTCAGAGCAAGGATTACAGGTGTCACCAGTAGCATAATAGGGGGAAAGAGGGTAAGAGGGGTGACCAGAGCAGCAGCCCTGGACACTTTTTGTAAAAGGACACAAAATAGCCACTGCCACCATTAGCACAGTAGCAGCCAGCGCTGCCCCAGATGTAGGGCTGCTCTCCTACACCTCTGGGTGTCACTGTGACCTCTCCTTTGTCAGAAGGTCTTCAGACATCTTCAGTCCTCTCAAAAGTTGAAAGGACTTAGTGCTATAGTTGAAGGATCCATAGGCCCCTGGCAGCTGTTACAATTAAGATGTGATAAACCTGTTAATCACACCATAAATAACAACTCAGACACGCATAATGGCATGACAAAATGGGAAACCAGCCACAAAAATATTTCACAAAAGATGTGTAACTCCATATGGGAGTTTCAAACTGGCTCCTCCATGGGACTGGGACTATTCAAAATAGACTGGTGCAGTCCTGAGTTGGGACCAACAACTGATTGTTTGCTCTGGGACCACTCCAGTTCAACTGGGCTATGGGTATCTGGCTTTCAATTTGCTGCTGTAGGGGAACCTCAGGAACTTAGGCTCTCCCTGCCCTGGCAAGTAGCTGTGACATCATTGGGATCTGATCCCAAAATCACACGCATGCTAGGAGGCACGATTGTTAGGATCAGGGATGAGCTCCCACCACACTATAAAATGAACGTGTGCCAGGGGTCCTAGAGCCAGCCCTGGATACTTGCAAACTACTAGCAAGTAGGTAACGCTCTTAAGGAAAGAGGATACAATTTTTTAATAACATTTGTATTGCACCCTTAAATCAGATAAACCATGTCCCTGGGCTTTATGGGCCACTCTTATTCAACTTGGTTTGTGTAATTTTTTTAGTTCCCCATTTATTAATGTCCCAGTCGGATCTTTCTTTTTCAAGAGCATATTAATTCATCACAATAGTCTTATCTTCTTTTAGATGTATAACCTCTGTGGAGCTGTAATACAGTATTGACCATCTTAATGCAAAGTATGTATGTATTGTATGAGAACTCCAATGAATTTTACTTTCTCTTGGTTTACATCCTTGTATCATGACCACAATCATGCTTCAGCATACACTGCTATCTTATGCAGATTACCTCACTAAGTAATGACAAATAAGTGTGAAACATTTGATTTGAAAAAGGCAGAGGAGAAGATGCTAGGTCAGACAGCATATATTATGATGCTTCACTTAGCTGAGCAATTAACATGATATTCCTTATTCATGGTTACTCTTTAGAAGCATTGTCAAACAAGTTACTGCATATAAAAGCTATTCTACCTATGCAAAATGAATTTGGATCCAAGTCTAGTTCCTAAAAGTAAGTAAGTAAGCATTGCAATTGGTAGTTGTAACAGAGAGATTAATGCTCCTGTTACTTTAAGGGAAAACTTGTGGCAGACAGAGACGAGGCAGCAGAATAAAGGTCAGCTGCAAAGGGATAAGCAGCCAGGGAGCACTGTTCCTTAGGCAGAGAGCTACACATTAAGAAGGAGGAACACCTGCAGCCAGTCAAGGGAACATTGCTCAGAGCCAGCTGGCTACAAGAACGCAGGCAATTAGAGGCCAAAGGCTTGAAGTGCCTAGATCAGAGGTAGCTCTGCTGCCATAAAACAATCAGGCAGAGCTTAGACGGGTGACAAAGAAGCAGTGGTCATGATAATTGTTAAGGTCCCTTGGAAGCTACATGGCAGGTCCTGAAGAGCAATCCCTGTAGATGGTAGAGACACTCACCTGACCTGCAGGGGCAGGTCTTAAAGCAGGGGCAGGCAAAATATAGCCCATGGGCCAGATATAGCCCACCAGGCCATTCTGTCTGGCTGACAGGGCCCCTAAAAAAAAATGAGAAAATTATTTTCCTGTGGCTGCCTGTCAAAGATGACAAGGCACCAGCAAGAGCAAGACCCAGGAGGAGCCGGCTGCAGGACCCAACAGCAGCAGCAAGGCCCACCCTGCCCTGCCTCACCCTCAGTTCCTAGCTAGAAGCTTCTGCCTAGCAGAGGCCTCCAGCCTGGTGACCTTGGGGCTGTTCCCAACACACTCTCCATCCAAGAGTAGAGGCTCAGATGAGAACAGGCAGGGATGCGGGAGGATTGCTGGCAAAGCAGGAACCAGCCTGGCCCAGCCAATACGTCATGGTTCCTAACTGGCTCCTACTGTGCCATTTGGTCCCAGCCATGCAGCTGGGAACCATGTACTGCCATAGCAGTGGGCAGGCGGGGAGAAACGGCAGGTGGGTGGGGGGGAAAGCAGTGGCAGCAGGTAGAGAAGTATCACAACCCAAAGGGTGTGATTTTTGTTTGTGTGTGCTTCGGCACTGCTAAATTGTTCCCGCTAAATTGCAGCTTCTTTGCACGGTGGAGTTTTCTGCTGCAAAAGAGAACCCCGGTGCAAGGGAGAATTTCCCGCCAATTTGAAGCTTTCTTTGCAGGGTGCATTTCTTTGTTGCAGCACAGAAATGCTCATTGCAAAGAGTTCCCGCCATTTGTATGCTAATTCGAGTCCCATTATTGGCCAGTTCTAAATTATTCACACGTGGCGGCTAGTGATTGGCTTGCTAGCCGTATAAAAGGCTTGAGTGGTTTCCGCGCAAGTTGGAGGACTCCACGAACACCGGGAGGAGGAGACTTCACGCTGTGTGAAGATCTCAACCGGACCCATGGAGCCTAGCAAACTTCGTGTGGATGCAGAAGGACCCACGGAGCCTAGCAAACTTCGTGTGGATGCAGAAGGACCCACGGAGCCTAGCAAACTTCGTGTGAGTCCTTGACCGACTTCAGAGCTCTTCTACCCGGGTTCGAGTCCTGCAGGTTTATTTTCCTGTCACCGAAAACCCATTGCGACGTACCCTTGTGTTTTACATCTTCCTGTCGCCGGAACCCTTTGCGACGTACCCTCGTGCCCTGCAGGTTCGAGTTTTGTTTCCTGTCTGTAACCGCAACTCAAGCAAGTTTTCCAGCCTGCACCACTGCCATCTCGGTGTAAGTAAACAATCTTTAAAACTACCGCTAAGCGTTTGTGCCTAATTCCAGCTCGTCCGCCTGCCTCTCCGACCCGGTGTGCCCGGGCTGCTGGCCACAGCCCGTGTGCAGCACGGAAAAGGGCTCGGGTCACTCCCGGCCCCCACAGGAAGGAAGGGAAGTGGCAGGGGAAAGGCAGCAGCGGCAGGTGCAAGGTGGAAAGCAGTGAGTAGGACCGCAGGGCCCTGGGGCCAGGGCTGATGGCACCAGGAGCCAGCTGGGACCCACAGGGGCTAGGCTGGCTCTTGCTGTGTTCTGCAGTCCTGGCATTGCAGCTGGAAACCACGCACTGCTAGGAGGTGCCCAGCCAGGCCGGCCAACTCCATGCCACACCACAGAGTTCTCAGCTGCAACACTGGGACCACAGAACGCAGCAGGAGTCCCAGCATTGCACGGAGGACCCTGTGGTGTGGCATGGAGCTGGCTGGGCACATGCTGGCACCACACAGTTCCCAGCAGTGTGGCACTGAGCCAACCTGACCCGGCCTGTCCCTTCCAGGCACCATGTGGTTCCTGGCTGCAACACGGGAACCCATGCAGGACGGCATGGAGCCAGCCAGACCAGCCCTGCAGCATGCAGTTCCTGGCTGTAACGCCAGGACCCATGTGGACCCAGCCCAGCCCAATGGCATGCTAGTGCCAAGAGCTGTGGGGAGTCCCATACCATCAGGCTGGGCCAGATTGTGGGGTTCCTGGCACTCTAGCTGGGATCTGCACATGGAGGCACAGAGCCAGAGTCCCATGAGCCCCACATTGCAGCCAGGAAGCATGTGGAGCCCTGCCTTACACCCCACATCCACACACATGGACACACACACCCACATACCTACCCACACCCATACACCTGCAGCAACCCAGTGGTAGCCAGTGTGCTTATGTAATAGTAATAACCAGAGGGCCAGATGGGTCTGATAGGGGAGGTTAGGAGGTCCCAGTGGTGCCCGAGTTGCACACAGCTGTTTTAGGGAATCCCACCAGAGTCCAGGGCCCAAGACAGAAGAGGTTCCTGTCAGGGAGAGTAAGACTAAAGGAGAGAGAGTTTGGAGCACAGTGCTCATCAGGGGCAAAACCAGAGCCTGAGTTGGGGGAGGACCAGGGCCAGGGACCATAGCCTACATGGGGCAAGGATAGACAGGGCCAAGGAGCCCAGCACACAAGGTGCACGAACCAGGGGCCCATAGGCCAGGGAGCAGAACCACAGCCTGAAAGAGGAGACAACTGAGGCCAGGGGCCTGTAACCTAAAGGGGGTGAGAATAAATAGGGCCAGGAAGCCCATAGCCCAAGAGGCAAGAACTAGGGCCAAGGGCCCATAGCCCAGGAGGAGCAGAAGTGGACGAAGACATAGCAGCCTAAGCCCTAAGGGAGGCAGTGAATGATAGAGACACAGAGCCCTGAGCTTCAGGAGAGGCAGAGACTGAGAAAAGGCAAAGAATCCTGAATGGACTAGAGCAGAGTCTGGGGGCTGAGTGCCCACTGATTAGTGATTGGTACTTGCGAGGCATGGGGATGGCTGTAGGGGAGGTCGGAGGCCATGAATAGCCCATAAGGCATCTGGTGTCCTAAGGGGCACGTATGGAGTGCCCACCTAGCATAGGGATAGATTGGGATCAGTAAGATCCGAGTGGGATCCACTGGCCAGAAGATAAACCAAGGCTCACTCTAAGGTCCTTGGGCAGGCTCCTTTTCTAAATCTATCAAGAATACCAAGGTGTGGCAGGTGAGAGCAAAGGAGGGGTAGCTTAGTGGCAGAGCTGGGCAGGAACTGTTTGACCACCAGGGGCACACTCCTGTTACTGTAGTCTTAGAAGCCAAAACATTTTAATACGTAAAGATCAATACAATTTCAATTCTAGAGAGAAAAAGAATACAAGGTTGGTAATGCGGAAACATGTGCCAGTTGTGGCTGATAGAGAATGCCTCAGTTTCAATAGATGTGAGTTTTGGTTCACATCTATTGAAAAAACAAAAACAAAACAGCATACTGGGTTGTATTAAAATAAGTGTCACTTGTAAATCAAGGGAAGTGATTTTTCTGCTGTATTCAGCTCTGGTGAGGCCTCATCTGGAGTAGTGTCCAATTTTGGGCCTCACACTTCGAGAAGGATGTGGACAGTCTGGAAAGAGTCCACCACAGAGCAATAAAAATGATTAGAGGCCTGGGAAACATGACTTAAGAAGAAAGGCTGAAAGAACTACGGTTATTTAGTCTGCAGGAGAGAAGACTGAGGGGGGATTTGATAACAGTCTTCAAATACCTGAAGGGTGACTACAGAAAAGATGGAGATGGGCTTTTCTCTGT